TTAAAAGAGGTATACGCCCACCGCACTGCACAGAATTCAAACCTAGAGGAAGTTTCACTTCCTTAATCTGACAGTTACTGCATCAGTTTTAAATGTGTGCTGTTATTTATTATGTTACCTCCATCGTCAGGGGTCAAGCACTCATGGGGTCCGAGGGCTGGATCTTTGAAGCCGTTGCACTTGATGATGGAGGTATAGTGAGATGCTGACACTTTAGGGATGCGAGGCAGATTAGGGTCTGAGCGGTTCACAAAGAAAAGTCCAAATCGCTCAGCATAGCCCTCAGCCCACTCAAAGTTGTCCATTAATGACCAGGCTGTGTAGCCTCTTAGATCGGCTCCATCCAGAACACGGGCTGAGACAACAACAGGAATACATTTAACATGCATGTACACAGTATAAATCAAAAGCATAAAACCTTGGCTCAGTGAATTTGGTTTGGAATTAGGTTTTTACGATGAAAGCAAAGAATCTGTATAAAAAATTCTGATAACTCAGTCTACTCCTTCTTTCATGTTGACTATCGTACCTTTCAGGCCCTGGTTAATGTAGTTCTCGTAGTAGTACTTTCTGTGGACGTCATTCAAGTCCACTGCTCCTTTCTCTGACACCCCATTCTCGGTGACATAGATGGGTGGGTTTCCATACTCATCCTTAATAAATTCGAGAAGTTTCCTAAATCCAAATGGAGTGATCCTCAGCCAGTTGGAGCCAGTTTCAAGCCAGGTGCGGTCGGCCATTACTGCAGCAGCCCTAAATATTGGATTAGACATCACAGCTCAGGACCAGTTCAGTGTGTAACTCTGGCTTAAAGCTTTTGCTGTCCAGTGCAAAAGTAAACATTTCCAGTTGCATCTATGTACATTTATTATTGAAACAGGCAGCAAAACACTGTGAAACATCTTTAACTCAGGTAATTTGACGTACTAAGGAAGCAGAAATTAAAAGTGACCTGAGAGTCACTTTTTAATTCCAACTTACCTGTCAGAATCATAATCCTGGGCATCTCCTACATCAATATGGAATGCAAGAACACTGCAGTAATGGTTTAAGCCGAAGAAATCATGAGTCCCATTGATCCTTTGGATTTCTTCAGGGGTGAACTCTGGGAGCCTATATTCAAAAACAAACAAAGACTGTTTTTCTAGCCTTATCCAACATGTGTCACATACATTGCTGTTACTCCTTAGGGCGAACAATAATATTCATCTGTCAGCAAATAACTTCAGTTTACTTAATCAGATGATAAAGGAGTGTATATTGATTGAGGTTCAACTCCACATGTCCAGCAAATGTCTTTGTACATCTTGTGATAATGTTGTCTGTCAATCAAATTGACAATTTCTCTGCTTGTGATGGTATCAACTATTTTTCATTTACCTTGATTTAGGGAGACCTGCAGCGAGGCTTCTTTCACGAATGGTAGTTCTCATTACTTCAGGATAATCACCTCTGAAGATGGGATGGGCAAACCAGCCAAGGAAGAACTGCAGAAAGATGTTCATATTATGTGACTAGTTGAGATATATTCACTAAAAAGCAGTTGACATCCTGACACGTAAAACCATCTAGTAAACAGTGAAAGTGAAACAACACAGTAAAAAGTGTCAGACCAAGTTTTGGTGTTGACATCTGCTTTCCTACCTGCAAGTAGCGTAGAGCTGCATCCACATCTGCCTGCTTATATGGATTCCTTGGCAGTGCCCAATCAGAATTGACAGTAATGGAGATGACACCACCCTGCGTTGCTCGGTACTTCTCATTGTAGAGATGCCAGGCCTCAGCGTGGGCCTTGATTAGGTTGTGAGCTACAACGTACCCCTGACCCTGAACGCCTGAAACATTTGAGATTACGATAGATCAGATATAGCTTCTGTTTTGTTCTGTTTCCATTGTGATATAAAAGTATACACCTGTTTTCTGATACACCATGCATTGACTCACAATTAATCAAAGACAAATTACAGCAATTACTGTCTTTCAACTAACTTGCAGTATGCACTAATCAGTAAAAAAATATCTAACTTCTTTTTTCTTTGTCGTTTAAATCAATCATTGTAAAACTACTTTATACTTTTTTTCTTTTCTTTTGATGAAGGCATTTTTTCCTTCATTGTGATGCTTTGTAAAGCATGAGACCCTGATGATGGCGCTTTTTTAATCTAGTATCGTCATCAGGTCGAACAGAGCTTCTAGCATGACTGTGGACCATTAGTCTTTAGTTACTTGTAGTTGTTTACTTGTGTTAAGTTACACTGGATTTCTGTTCTAAGCAAATTGAATACATACATATATATATATATATATATATATATATGTGTGTGTGTGTGTGTGTGTGTGTGTATGTATATACATATGTATATATATAATTGCAGCTTGTCCTCAAAGTAATTGATTAAAATTGGTCAAGGTAGAGAGTTGCTTGCTTACCTGGAGCAAAGGTCCCATATCCGTATCCAAGCTGGGCTACAATGTAGGGCTCATTGAGGGTGATCCAGAACTTTACTTTATCTCCAAGTCGGCTGAATAAAACATCAGCATACTCTCTGAATCTTTGAACAATGGTTTCATTCTCCCAGCCTCCTACTTT